TATCTCACCAGCAGGCATTTACAGGGTGTTAGCACGGATGAAGAGGGGCCCACAGCCACTGAGGCATCTTGCTGCAGATCCATCCGAGGTGTGAGCCGTAGCTGTGGGATGACTGGCCAGAGGGGCTGGGATGGGACAAGTGTGCTGCACAAACCTCATAACCAGGCTGCCCCAACGGGCCAGCAGGACTTGGGTCAGGCTTTGCCCTCAACACACACACACAGATCTCTGTTTTGCAAAGACAAAGTCTTCAAATACTCACTTTTGATGGGACGATCAGGTTTGGCAACATTGCGTGAAAGTACACATCTGTATTCAAGGGGCTATTTGAAACTGGAGGAGCCCAGTGAAACGTACTGCCTGCTGGGTTAAATAAATCATTTGCATCCCCTTCTTCCTCAGCTCCTCTTTGTCACCAATTCTCTGCACGTCACTAGGCACGAGAGCAGCCTACGGTACTTTAGCCAGGGGTGGCTTTTTGAGAACCATTAGTTAAGCTGATTTATTCTGTTGCCTCTGTGTCCCCAGGGTCCCTGCAAAACAACTCACCAAGAGCACAGAGAGCTGGAGAGGCAGGTGCCAGTGTGCTCACAGCACAACAGTGTTTTCAGAACTGAAGCAGGGTCTTCTCAAAGCAACCCCTTGACAGTGGCTAAACAAATATAATGTGAGCAGTGCTTCCATGCTAACCAGTATTTCCCAATGCTTTCACTAGCACCCAGGTGCTGGCACTTCTCTTTCCCCTTCAGATGCTGACCAATCCCCTGCTGTAGCTCAAGCTGGAGGGTTAAATGCGCTCTTCTTCCCAGCCCTCATCTCCCATCACTGCCTCCTGCAGCAGGCAGGTCAGTGCATACTTCTCTTGGAAGGACTTGGAGTGCAACACCTAACCTACCGCTAACTTGAGAAGGAATGGTTGTACATCCAGGCTGGGAGCTGATCCCCATGCTAGCGTCATGCATTAAAGGCTGGAAGATGTGCATTTCACTCCCTACCCCAGAACGATGCCAGCAGAGTGTGGTGCATGTAGATGAGGTATTCCAGGCCTGGGATTGTCTTTTCTTTTATTTTCTCCCAGGCAGGATAGATCTGTGACCTCTCATGGTGAGTTCAGACCCAAGGTCCTCCCTGAACCCGAGACTGGGCACACGACTGTGAGTATAATAAATACATATTTTTAATGCTGCTGCATTTAATTTGGAAATATGTAGGTTTTCTTGTTTAACTTTTTTGTGATTTTTTTTATTTGTGTTTGCTTTTGGTAGGGCTTATTTGCATGAATAATACAGCTTCCCTTCACTGCCCAAGGTGAGGAAAATGCTAGCATCGTAGTGCCCAACTCCCTCACCTTGTTTAGGAACAAATGGAAGGATATTTACTTACCTCAGCCTGCCTACTGTGATATTTTCACTAATATTTGGGTTTCATGAGCTAGGAAATCTGGGCCATTGTATGCCAGTGGATGTACTCATCCTTTCCTCAGCTAAATGTGCTATCGGATAGCTTCCACAGAGATGAGCAACTGCTTCCTTTGAACTCATGAACCATCAAGATTCTCTAATTTGCTTAGACCACCTGCTTGGCTGATATCACCACAGGCCTCTTGTTTTCTCTCTCAAGTGGTAAACAGAAACGTAGAGCATGCCTAAATGTTGCTGTACAAGCTGCCCTGGCATGCTGGCAGTGGAGGCAGGCCAGATCATGCCATCAGTTCTGCCTTGGCCAAATAATGACAGCCCGGACACTGCAAACCCCACTAACAGCCTCTGCTTTTTACCCTGGGACTTCCAGCCCTGCAGAAATGCTCTAGCTGGATCTATGAAGATCCCAAGGTTCCCCAGGAGTTGCCATATCAAATAGAATTATCCTGCTTTTCCACTGCCTCGTGTTTGTGCGGAGCTAGGGCATCTCTGCCCCTAGGACACAACATCTGCACATGGGGTCCTCCATCCTTGGGGAAGGGAATTGACCGTGGAGGTGGTGATGGGCACCTCTGCCCCAGCATATGAGCCCTGGGAAAGAAGATTTGCTTCCAGCCAGCTTGGAACCCTTGGGTCACATTGATCTGCATGTGCGCCCACCCCACAATGCACCTACGGATGCAGCTGGGGATGCGGAAGGGTGTTTCTTCCATGGGTCGCAGATACATTATTTGTAATTACCATAGAAACCTCCAAACATCACAGCGTATGCTGTTACATCAATATCTCACTCCTCCACATCTGCTTCCTGGGGACATTAAAGGGGAGAGAGGTACTGTGGGGTCCTGAGTGGTGGATGATTACTTTGGGGTCTGTTATCAGGCAGCTGTCAATGTCTCCAAGGGCACAGGACAGACTCTGTGCCTTCAGTCCTTTTACTCTCGCTCATTCATGACTTCTGCATGTGGAGGGACACCACATCTCACCGATCCACGTGGCCTTGCAGAGGGCTGCATTTAATGTTTGATCCCTAAATACTCTGCTGTTACCACTTTGGATGTGCAAAATGCAAAACCTGAGAGGCGTTATCGGCAAAGCAAGCTTGGCAACTCTTAAATTAGCAACGTGCAAGTGCACGGAGTTCTGAGCAGAGCTCCTTGTGCTGTTTACACCGATAGTTTAACAAGCCTCGCTCCACATTCCCATGCCAGACGCGCACACACAGATGGTGTATCCTCGCAGCTCGGCGGGCTGTCCCTCAGACACCCGGACAGCGGGAGGACTGTCAGCACCGAGGTGAGGGGAAAGGGGCTCTTTGATGGACCATTTATTTGGATGGAGCTGGAGGATGAGGCAGATGGTTGGGTTTGTTGGCAGGGAACTCCGCTCCTGTTTGTTTAATTAGTCACCAGACATACTGAAAGCTAAAGCGTGTAATGTGCAAACTCTTAAGCAGGGTGAGATGGACCACTTGTGCTTGATGTACGGGAAGCAACTTGGTGATCCTCGTCCTTTGGTCCTGCTGTGGGGGGGATGCTCCTGCGCACGGGACTGGGTATTCCTGGTGCTTCAGGCAGCCTTTATCTTTTCCCCCAAAAAAGTAATAGGTTCAGCCATGTGTGTTGATTTTTTGAGCCAAAGGAGGCCCAAATTCAGAGTTTTCCTCTCTCCAGCACCCACACATGGCTGTTTTTGGGGAATGGCATCACCACTGGGGAGGTTCAGCCCCTGGTTTCCCACAATCACATCCCATGTACCTCCTTCACCACCTCCTGACTCCTCTTACCTCCGAGCTTCCCTGTCCACAACACAACAGGTACCAGGAAATGCTGCAATAGTTCCCAGAAGCACAAGCCATACACAGACCCAACATTTGCCACATTCACAAATAAACCCACTTTACGCCTTTATTTGGGCTTTATAACGTGTTAGAATCTGCTCAATATTTTCTGCCTTCTTGCAAATGCTTATTCTTGGTTTTGGTCCCATCTCCCCTCTATTTCCCTTGGATATACCTGTATCACTCATTCCTTGAATAGCAGGGATATTGAAATAGAGTACGACAGGATAGAACAGAACAGAATACAGCAGAATATAGTATCATAGGATAGAAAAATAAAATTAAACTAAACTAAACTGAAATATGACTGCTGGGGGAATCAGTAACCTGAAGCACAAATCCTGCCCCTCTTGGGCACTGTTGGTGCTCTCAGCCTTAAGCCCATCCATCCCCACTGCCTGCTCCCCAGGTTCCCGGGGCAGCATTTACCACCGAGCATGCCGACATGCAGAACGCCTCAACCAAA